TGAATGGCAGTCACATCTACCTTGCCCTTAACATATCCTTGCTACATTGCAAATGGAAATAAGCAAACAACAATGAGACATGCAAGACTAGAAAAGACTTTCAAAAGAAGCTTGAAAGTAAAACTTGAATAGAAGAGAGACAATAAATGTTCATGGAAAGGAAAACCCTTTGAAGAGCATGGAAAAGTTAAAGAATGAGATGAGAACAGGAAATGGGAAAGTGGTCGAGGAGGGTGACATGAAACAAAAATACAGCAGGAATAGCAATATAAGACATTTAGAGAAAGAAGTGGAAATATTACAAGATAGAAGAGATGGGGAAGAGATGGGGAAGTTGAAGTAAGACAAGGAAATGGGAAGATGATCTTAAATAAGGTTAAGAAGCAAGGCATAATAGTAAAATGAATGTGGGGATCAGAAACGAAATAAAGGGAGATACTGATGAGAGCAAAGTATCATGAAAAGGAGGGCATTGAAATAAAAAGAAGAAGGACCGGTGGATGTGGGTTTGAGGAGGACTTGAGTCAAAATCTACAAACTGGGGTGGGCTACAGAAAGGAATCAGCGGGAGTGAAGGAGATAGAAAGGGAAAGAATGAACTGAGGTGATTGATGGGGAATGTGCAGAGACGTCACTAGGGTTGGTGTCACCCGGTGCAGTAAATCATGGTGTCATTCCCTCCAACCCCGGGTTCTCTCCTGTCTAGCCTGCCACAGTGCCCTGCAGGGCAATGCTGGGCAGGCTAGTTTCCGGTCAGCAGCACACGGTCATGGTGCACCCCTCAAACTGGCCCCTGTAAATGATGCGGTTGGTGCTGGCATGCTGATCTGTGTGCTGGCATGGGTGGGGGTGACACCACTGCAGTCGGATAACGCTTCCTACTTGATGGTGTTTGGGCAGCCATCAGAAATTTTGGGGCCCCTTACACAGCTTTAGGCCTGGGCTCCCCCGGGACCTGCTACAGGAGATGGTCAGAGACTGCGAACATACTACAGGAGATGGTCAGAGATTGCAGAAATACTACAGGAGATGGTCAGAGATTGCAGACATGGTACAAGAGATGGTTAGAGACTAAGGACATACTGCACTGCAGTAGAAAGTCAGAAACTGTGCACATACTACAGAAGACAGTCAGAGACTGCAGACATACTACAAAAGACAGAGACTGCAGAAATGGTACAAGAAACTATGGTATCAGAGACTGCAGATATTCTATATATTTCTGTGTATATGGATATTGGGCAGGAACACTGGCTGCTTCACACAATGCAGGTTGCTCCAAGATCAATCTTCAGTGCACTCTGTCTGCCACTTCCAGCTCTTCACCTCCGATTTGCTGTTCCCTAAGGCCAGGATGTGGACTGTGGCCCTGCCCTTCCCCTGAAGTCCCCAGGAAGGAAGGTGCCCGAAGTGTTTGCCACTGCCCTCGTCCCTGTGGATCCACTATACCTCATTCTGACCAGCAGCATTCCCTCAAAGCGCTGTATAAACCACCAGCAGGGATGTCATATTACTGCCTCCTCTGGGCTTAACCCCCATGTTGGCAGCCCTGGACACTCCTCTGACAGGTGTCACTTGGGTGTGGTCTGCACCCCCCTAGTGATATCACTCGGAATGTGCATCATTTTAGAAAATGCAGGCCAAAGGTAGAAAATTGGAGTGGCCAGGAGAAAGCTGGGAGCAAGGAGTGGAGGAGAAATGTTGAAGTTTGGGAATTGGTGGGGAGTATGTTGGTTTGGAGAAGACACAAACCAGTGCTAAGAAAGTTGAGAGGAATATCTTGAAGAATAGGGGATTGGAAGGGAAAAGAGAAGTGAAATGACTGGTGGAGAGGATGTAGGTTTGAGGGACAAAAGCCAAAGACAGGGAAGTGGAGAAGACAGGTGGAAGAGAATCCAAATACAAAAACAGAGGAAGGGCACAGTTTCAATAAGACAGAAATATGTTGTTGTAATAAAATAGGAATGTGAACAACAAAAAGGAAATGGAAAGGAACAGATGAAAAATGTAAAATAGGGACAAAGCAAAGGACTTTGATGCCATAAACGTTTATTAAGGGAAGTCTGTGAATAAGCTATGTACCTTTTTGATGGAAGCCCATTTTAAACCCTGGGACTGTACAGAGACGATCACTATCACCATGGGTAAAGTGACTGCTCGGCAACTAGCATATGACTTATACGTCAAACAGTGGGAGCTCCCAGCAAACAGATATTACGTCTCATGGCAGGATTTTACTATGCAATGTACAGTCATGACCTTTCCAAAACCTAATTTTCCCCCCAGCCCGCGCCCCCCCCCCCATCCTCTCCATCACGACCAACAACGCCACCATCAGTCCCACCCCGCAAGCAAAAGTTCTAGGTGTCACTCTAGACTCAAACCTGTCCTTCCAACCCCATGTCCAATCGCTGGCAAACTCATGCAGGCTCCACCTCCGCAACATCTCCAAAATATGTACGTTCCTAACCCCAGACACTGCTAAACAACTCGTTCACTCCCTTATTATCTCACGTCTGGACTACTGCAACTCCCTCCTCACAGGCCTACCTCATCACAAACTATCCCCGCTTCAGTCTATCCTGAACTCAGCGGCCAGACTCATCCACCTTACCAACCGTTCCTCTTCTGCCACCCCCCTCTGTCATTCCCTCCACTGGCTTCCGATTGCCCAACGCATTAAATTCAAACTACTAACACTGACATACAAAGCCATTCATAACGCTGCCCCAAACTACCTCACAGACCTGATACCCAAAATACCACCCAACCCGCAATCTTCACTCCTCACAAGACCTCCTACTTTCTAGCTCCCTGGTCTCCACCTCCCACGCCCCAACTGCAGGACTTCTCCAGGACTTCCCCCATCCTCTGGAACTCACTACCCCAATCTATCAGACTGTCACCTACCCTCCTCACCTTTAGGCACACCCTGAAAACCCATCTCTTCAGGGAAGCCTACCCCAGTCTCACCTAACTGCCGATCTCCTCCACTTCTCCTACCACTCCATCCCCCACAGCCACTTCCTCCTGTACCACTTTCCCCTCCCTCCTAGATTGTACGGGTTGGGTGGTATTTGGGTATCAGGTTGGTGAGGTAGTTTGGGGCAGTGTTGTGAATGGCTTTGTATGTCAGTGTTAGTAGTTTGAATTTAATGCGTTGGGCGATCGGGAGCCAGTGGACGGAATGACAGAGGGGGGTGGCAGAAGAGGAGCAGTTGGTAAGGTGGATGAGTCTGGCCGCTGAGTTCAGGATAGACTGAAGTGGGGATAGTTTGTGATGAGGTAGGCCTGTGAGAAGGGAGTTGCAGTAGTCCAGATGTGAAATAATAAGGGAGTGAACAAGTTGTTTAGTAGTGTCTGGGGTTAGGAACGTACGTATTTTGGAGATGTTGCGGAGGTGGCGTCTGCATGAGTTTGCCAACGATTGGACATGGGGTTGGAAGGACAGGTTTGAGTCTAGAGTGACACCTAGGACTTTGGCTTGCAGGGTGGGACTGATGGTGGCGTTGTTGGTCATGATGGAGAGGGTGGGGGGAAGATTAGGAGCTCGGTTTTGGAAAAGTTCAGTTTGAGGAAATGGAGCAACATCCAGATAGATAGATAGATAGATAGATAGATAGATAGATAGGCAGTGCTACTCTCTTGAGAGCCGCTGGTTTTCGGTTTACCCTATGTTCCTGTATAGCCAGGCAACACGCATTTTCCACTCTTGCATCAAAAGCCAGTAAACAGTCCATGAGCTTGGTTTTTGTTGTTTTATTAGGGTTAAAAACTTGGATGGGATCTAGGGGTATGCCCAATGGAACTGAAACAACTTGGAAGACAACTTCCTATGTAAAAAAAGCAGAGAATTTTGATCCTGGACTTTGTACTCCCACTGGAGTGGCTCTTGTCTCTTAACAGATCAGCACACAGCCCTTACTAGGAGCACTCAGTCCCCTTAAATGAACCTTCTTCAGACTCCAGATTAAAAACCTTCTCATCCACCTGGCTGTCCTGCAGAATATCCCAGATCAAGGGATTCCAAGACACATAAGAATGCTGTCCCAGGGAGAACTAGTTGGGTATGGCACCTGAGTGCCCCCTTCTCTTGTTGGCCCAGGGGGAGAAGAGGTACTTACACTGTCCTGTTCCTGTAGCTTTAAAAGGTAAATCTGTTTCAGGCCTTACACTGGGCTAGCTTCTTCACCTGCTGACAGGTTGTCCTTTCCTATAGACTGTAGAACAGTGGAGGTCCCTCTTTCCAACTCCCAGCCTGTAGGTAGAGTCTAGTATTTATGGGCTGGTCTCCCACACTGCCAGGCCTCCTGCTCTGTGAGTCTGTGAAAAATCCTTTTCATCTGTGAGTTTTACGAGGATGTACTGGACAAATAAACTGCAGATAAGAAGATAAAACTTATGTAGGAGGATTTGTTTCTTCTCTGTATATCACCTAAGGCCAGTCACTTTACTGGGTATATGAAGGGTTTACAGCCACTTTAACCTCCCTAGCGGTATGATTATTTCAGATTTTTGGTGCTGAAAACGGTACCATTTTTTTGCATAGAAATATGTAGTTTTTTTATTGTAGGCCTGTAATTTAGGAATAACTCACTGAAATCTGTCCGAACAAGAGTCTAGTAAACATTCCGGATAAGATAAAACTTGAAACACGAAATCATAAATTATAATTTAATAAATAATCATAAAAAATAACAATATAATAATACATTTAATTCAATAATATTATCAAACCAAAAACACTGAAATTTGAAATAGAGCGCCAAGTTCGCACATCACTGAGCAAAGTCGCAAAATTGTTTTCAGTGTCTGATGACGAATTTCCCCACGAATAATTATCACTCAATTCTGCAAGTGGTTCTGATTTACTATCTCTGTTCTCTAGCCGGTCTAAAACCGATTTTGACATAAAGGGACGCTTTTTGGATGCCATGGACATTTCTAAGTTTCCAGGCAGAAAGAACAGTCAAAATGCAGGCAGGGCACAGGACAAAGCGCCCGTACGTCCCGACGTCACAGGGACCGGAACACGGAAGCCAGCATCGGCCAGAGGAGATGGCCGGGGACGCTGCCGGGGACACATCGTGGGAGCGAAGGACAAGGTAGGCGCTGCAGTGAATCCCTGTGCAACGCTGCATGGTAAGCCCGAGTGTAGCTCAGGGTTACCGCTTTTGGTACTGAAACTCTACCCCGAGCTACACTCGGGAATACCGCTAGGGAGATTAATCGACTCCCACCTGCCGCATTGTGAAATGACAGATGGGTGGGATTGCTTTTGTTCTGGGAGGACGCCATATGATGTCTATATATAAGCCTCTACCCCTATGCCCAAGTCCACCCTTACCAAGGCTCTAATTCTGATGTTCCTGCCTGCTGCCTAGACCATTACTTTAGCTGTGCTGACCATGTCTCTGCCTACTACCTGTACTGACCCAGGGCCTTTTATGAGCCATGTTCTTGCCTGCTGCCTGGACCAATTTTTTGGCTGTGCTCACCATATCTCTGCCTGCTGCCTGTACTGACGCAGGACTTTATATGGACTTTGTACCTGCCTGCTGCCTGGACGTAAGCCTGCTGCCTGTACTGACCCTGGCATATTTATGGAGCATAGCTGCCTGGACGATTCTGTTGGCTGTTGCTGACCACGTCTCTGCCTGTTTCATGGACCAATGCTCTCCTCAAACCACAGGTAATCTTTTGTTTACATTGTTTTCTGTACAGTGTATGTTGATTTTTGTGTTACACAGGTTGCATTGTTGGGTACATAATCTGTTCAGACACTGAAAAGGTCTTACACATATGGTATCCCCATAAGCAAGAGTAGCAGAAATGTACTTTGGGGTATTCTGCTACTTTGGGGTACTTTTCCTCAGTGTCCTTTGTTTCTTTAATTTTATCCCATTTAATGTCATGTAATATGGAACACTTTGTTTGAGTCGAATGTAAGTTCGACTCGAACATTGGCCATATGTGTTTTTGCTGAAAACACGAACGGTAAGGGAGCTCGGCAGGCTGTTTGCCCACCACACCCCACAATGCACTGCACCCTGACAGTGATGATGTCATGACATTTAGCTGTCAGGGAGAAACCCCGCTGACAGCTGAAACATTAAGGAATGTTTCTCTACTAAAATACTGCATGACTTAATAAAATAACTTGTGGTATTTTAATAGCTGAGCGTTATCTTACCGCATACTCAGATGCGGTATGATACTGCTCAGTAAATTATCCCTGTTCGCAGTTGAAATTTCAGTAGTAACCAGCATGAATTTATGAAAGATTATTTTTGTCAGACAAACCTGTTAACATTCTATGAGGTGGTGAGCTGTACCTGGACAGAAAACTGGTTACAGGAGTGTGTCCAGAGGGTGGTAAGAAATAGCGTATCTTCTGAATGGATTTATAAGTGGGGTACCCCAAGGCTCTGTCCTGGAACCAAATCTGTATAGCCTCCCTGGCGGTATTCCCGAGTGTAGCTCGGAGTAAAGTTTCAGTACCACTAGCGGTAACCCCGAGTTAAACTCGGGCTTACCATGCGGCGCTGCTCCGCGATCCCTCAGTCACTTACCTTGTCCTGCGCTCCCGCGATGTCCTTTCTGCAGTGTCCCCGGCAATGTCTTCCGGCGGATGCTGACATCTGTCTTCTGGGTTCCGTCCCCTGCGAGCATCGGGACGTACGGGGGATGGAACGGTGGAAAATTTGAAAATGACAAAAAGTGACATTCACTAAAATCACTAAAATCACATAGTAAAACATTAGTGTACCAAACCATTTCACATACATTTTGTCCCGAGTGCTTTGTCCTGTGCCCTGCTTGCATTTTCACTGTTCTTTCTACCTGGAAACTGAGAACCGTCCATGGCGTCCAAAAAGCGTCCCTTTAGGTCAAAAGCAGTTTTAGACCAGCTAGAGAACAGCGATAGTAAATCAGAACCACTTGCAGAATTGAGTGATAATGATTCGTGGGGAAATTCGTCATTAGACACTGAAAACAATTTTGCAACTTTGCTCAGTGATGTGCGAACTTATCGCTATATTTCACATTTCAGTGTTTTTGGTTTGATTATATTATTGAATTAAATTTATTATTATATTATTATTTTTTATGATTATTTATTAAATTATAATTTATGATTTCGTGTTTCAAGTTTTATCATACCCGGGATGTTTTACTAGACTCTTGTTCGGACAGATTTCAGTGAGTTATTCCTAAGAATTACAGGCCTACAATATAAAACGCCAAATTTTCATGCAAAATAATGTACCGCTTTCAGCACCAAAAATCTGAAATAATCATACCGCCAGGGAGGTTAATTTACTCATAAATGATATTGAGGTTGATTTAAATAGTTCAATCTCAGTGTTTGCTGATGACAAATAACTAAGCAGGGTAAAGACTTCACAACAGGATATAAAAACTTTACATTAGGACCGTAATAAAATAAAGAGGTGGGCAACGGCATGGAAATTGTAACATAGGACTCCTTATTTGATAGCAGCTTCACAAGTCTTGCATCCATTGAACTTGTGAGTTTTTGGACAGTTTCTGCTTGAATTTGTTTGCAAGATGTCAGAATAGCCTCCCAGAGCTGCTGTTTGGGTGTAAACTGCCTCCCACCCTCATAGATCTTTTGCTTGAGGATGCTCCAAAGGTTCTCAATAGGATTGAGGTCAGGGGAGGATGGAGGCCACACCATGACTCTCTCCCGTTTATCCCCATAATAGCCATTGATGCAGAGGTATTCTTTGCAGCATGAGATGGTGCATTGTCATGCATGAAGATGATTTTATTACGGAAAGCATAGTTCTTCCTTCTGTACCAGGGAAGAATGTGGTCAGTCATAAACTCCACATACTTTGCAGAGGTCTTCTTTACACCTTTGGGGGCTCTAAAGGGGCTGACCCGCTCTGTTCCCATGATTCAGGCCCAAAACATGACTCCACCCGCCGCCTTGCTGACGTCGCAGCCTTGTTGGAACAGGGTGGCCATCCACCAACCATCCACTACTCCATCCATCTGGACCATCCAGGGTTGCACGGCACTCATCAGTGAACAGGACTGTTTGAAAATTAGTCTTCATGTATTTTTCTGCCCAATGCAGCTGTTTCTGCCTGTGAGCATTGGTTAGTGGTGGACGAATAGAAGGTTTTTGCACAGTTGCAAGACTCTGGAGGACTCTACACCTTGATGTCCGTGGGACTCCAGAGGCACCAGCAGCTTCAAATGTCTGTTTGCTGCTATGTAATGGTATTTTAGCAGCTGCTCTCTTGATCCGATGCATGGATCTGGCAGAAATCTTCTTCAATGTGCCTTTATCTGCACAAACCCGTCTGTACTCTGAATCAGCCACAAATCTCTTAATAGTGCGATGATCACGCTTAAGTTTTCATGAAGTATCTAATGTTTTCATACCTTATCCAAGGCATTGAACTATTTCACTCTTTTCGGCAGCAGAGAGATCCTTTTTCTTCCCCATATTGCTTGAAAATGGTGCTCTGCTTAATAATGTGGAACACCGTCCTTTAGTAGTTTTTCCTTAAATTGGGCTCACCGGCCAATCTAATTATCACAGGTGTCCGAGATTGTTTTCAGTGATCAAAAGAGCCCTGACACACAATGCCATCCATGAGTTAAACTGAAAAACAAAATATTTCATCTTTGTGACACTTAAATAGAATTTGCATAATAATTTGGAATGCGGTGTATATGTGTTATATGAATTGCACTTTCTTGTGGTTGTTGCACAATTTTCGCCATTTGCACATTTAGTGATCTTTGCACCTTTTGCATATTTGCACATTGATATGAACTTTCTAAAAGGAATATGATTTTATAAAACTACAGACTGGTTTAATACAGTTGATAACATTTTTATTGTTCATGTCTGTGCACTGTTTACGTCAGGGGCGGACTGACAACTCATGGGGCCCCCGGGCAATAGGGGATCATGGGGCCCCTGTGTCCTTGCCCAAACTCAAAAAAGCCTATGAAAAAGGTACCAGGGGCATCTCATGGGGCCCCTACTGACCCCGGGCCCTCGGGCAGTGCCCTAGTTTCCAAATGGTCAGCCCACCCCTGGTTTACGTATTTGCCCATTTATTTTTACTCATAGGGAGATTATATATATATATATATACACACACACATACACACACACACACACACACACACACACACACACACACACACTATCATATAAATTGGCTTTCATGACTTCAAACATTACCTATATAACTGACATTGTCAATGGATATTACATTGACACAATGGAAATAACCTGTGTTTTATTTGCTGCTGTACCAAAGGTCAGTTTGCATTCTTTTCATTTTTTTATACAAAAATAGTGATTTTAAGAACAATTTTACACCTCTCTTTCTGATTACCCACTTGAAAGGCATAAAGATTACCTGCGTCCATGAATTGAATACCATTTTTTCAGCAAGCAATATCTGTCTTTTCACTGCAAATGGGAGTAAATATACATCTCTAAAGTGTCCATTGATTAAAATTGATATGCCAAGAGACAAGAAATCAGATCCAACTACATTCTTGTATGTGCTAGGTAGTAATGTCACTCTGAGAGGCAGCCGTATAACGCCTGTGAAATATATTCTTACATTACACTAGTAACACTGGTGCATGTGGTATAAACAATCATATATACCATAAGACACAAAATTACATGTAAGTAATATATCTAATAAAATAAATAAAATAAGTAAATATAAGTAGTTATTAAAAAGTAAATTTTAATTAAATTAAAAAGTAAAAATATTTTATGGCTGACATGAACAAATGTAATTGTATTTTAGCAAGAAAAAGTAAAGAACATACATAAATAAATATATGAATATAGAAAATGTAAATAAGTAAAATTAAATCTAAAAATAAACAATATAAATAACTAAAACCAACCAAATGTAAAGTTCAGTGAACACTTTAATATTGCTCAGTCAGAAAGTCTAATGTATTAAACTTAAGGGAAACCTATAGTGATAGAAATAAAGGGGATGAAAATGCCAACCTCCTAAAAATGCTAGTTGACTGGCACTGATCAATTATCCAGTAAATTAAGCCAAAACTCCTGATCTACATTCTTTTTCTAAGTCAGTGACAAAAAGAAAGTAATAAAGCCTTTGGGTCAACGTAACTGCCAGACACTTACCAGGGCATAAAACTAAGCTATTCTAATTCAAACTAGTGCCATAATAGATTCTAAGCATCCTTGGATCCTGTTTCAAACTATAAAATATAAAGGGACAATCCCCCAAAATCGTAGTACCCTATAGCACCTCCAGCAAAAATTGGCCTTTAACCCCTTCACTCCTAAAGGTAACACAAATCTAAATGCCTAAGCACAAATTTGCAAAGTTGACTTGTGTTAGAAAAACCGTACATATGATCACAACTACTTTGTACATCCAGGTGGATTATACCTTTTTTCAGCACAAATTGGGCTTTCATTTGGTGGTAAATGGTAATGGATTTCTCCTGATTTTTTTTATTACCAAAGGAAAACTGTCCCAAAATAGTAAAAAAAAAACCATGTTTGTAAATATGTGTTTTCTTGTTACTACCATAACCTACCATCAAAGAACAACCCAAAATACATTTTCCAGCTCTTGATGATTGCAGTGATACCATATATGTGTATGTTATTTGTTGTTTGTACCTGTAGTACAGCCCAGAAACAATAGTGCGCAGGGGTGGACTGACCATTTGGAAACTCGGACACTGCCCGAGGGGCCTGGGGTCAGCAGGGGGCCCCCATGAGATGCCCCTGGTACCTTTTTACATAGGCTTTTTTGAGTTTGGGCAAGGACACAGGGGCCCCATGGTCCCCTATTGCCCGGGGGCCCCATGAGTTGTCAGTCCGCCCCTGATAGTGCGCATTTTGTTTTGTTTTTTTTACCTAAAACACACTGACACTAGCTGACACTGATACCAAAATCAAAAACAAATCCTGACCTTTGACTCTGATCTTTTGACCTTGACCTTTGACCCTGACCTTGACCCAAACACTTACCCTGGCACTGAACAAGATCAAACCTTGATCTAGGTATTTTTGCTTTATTTTTTTCTTTTCTTTTTTAAATATTTATTTCTCTTTTTTTTGTTTTTTACAAACATTTTTTTCCCTCTATGCAAGGAGTTAGAGAGATACAGTGTATCTCTCTCCTTCATTAATAGAGAGGAGAAAAAAAAAAAAACACAAGGGGGCCGGGCTGTACAGTGACATCACTGTTATAGCCAATCAGAGGCTATCACAGCGATCATGTGACCCGGAATCCAGAGTCCTGGGTCCTGATCATTAGACCTGGGGCTCTCAGTGACACCGCTGTCTTTGTGCTGGGAGTGTGCTGTGCAGCGCACTCCCAGCACAAAGACAGGTACACAAAAATGCGGCCCCACGGAAAAAAGCTCAGTTCTGTGAGGCCGTATATTTGTGTTACGTTGGCGTCAAGGGGTTAAATATACACTATATTGCCAAAAGTATTGAGACACCCCTCCAAATCATTGGATTCAGGTGTTCCAATCACCTCTATGGCCACAGATGTATAAAATCAAACACCTAGGCATGCCGACTGCGTCTACAAACATTTGTGAAATAACGGGTCGCTCTCAGGAGCTCAGTGAATTCAAACGTGGTACTGTGATAGGTTGTCACCTGTGCAATAAGCCCATCATGAAATTTCCTTGCTACTAAATATTCCACGG